GAACTTAATTGAAACAATTTGCACATTGATTCATAATTTTTTTTTTTTTTTTTTTTTTTCCATATAAAGACAAAATCAAAAATGCCATTCTCAAATCTACGGACTATTATTATTATATAGAAGCTTCAAAGAATATACAATATTACTTTAAAGTCAAAATTATTCGTTCCATATAAATGACAGCTTGTTCATAAGTGACTGAGATGTATCACAGTTCAAGTGTACAATTAGGGTACAAATATTAATTCAAGAATTTTGATCTAATAAAAATGAGATTTTTTTTTTCTTTCTTCGACAAAGAAAAAAATTATAGAACCTATTATAAATCAATGCAATGAAAATTTACCTCTACGTCGACCTCCTGTAAGACCGAAGGTGCTGAACTCTGACCGTGACGGGTTCTTCCCCATCCGGCAACGGTTGCCGTTCGACCTGATAACTTAAGATTTCTAGCCGGCAGGCAAACTGGTACTATGTGCTGTTTAAACGCTACGGTCCTCGACAATTTTACCAATGCCACGTCATTACGGAAATCCGTCGGTGAATATTGTGGATGAACCTGATATATCGTTATATATATATATATATATGTATATATATATGTGTGTGTGTGTGTGTGTTGTGTGTATGTGCATACTTTTTCACGATATCATTAAATTATTTATCGATAAAACGTACTTCCTTCCTTTCGATGTTAAATTCTTCATGAAGCAAACGTTCCGAGGCATCTCTCACGTCCCATTCACCTAATCGAACTTTCAAATTATTGTTTGGTGTCCTGAATGAAGAAAGACATTAGCTCGCATTAATCATTGTAAAATGTGTCTAGAGCAAAAGGTAGTGAGGAAGATAAAATGTAAAAAGAAAAAAAAAAAAAAGAAAGAAAAAAAAAAGGAAAAGAAGAAAAGAAAAAAAAAAAGAAAAAAAAAAGGAAAAGGAAACTGGAGCAAGAAATATTTACGTTGCGACACAGTGAGCCGCTGTTACGACCCATCTGTTGTTCAACAGAGCACCGCCGCAGGATAATTTCTTCGTCAGGAATCCTGACTTTATGATGGCAGCCTGAAAGACGGGAAAAAAAGAAAAATAAATAAATAAATAAATAAAAAGAAAAAGAAAAACAACAATTATATCGATCTATCGATCTTATTTCTTTTGGATGGATCCATTTCTTTTTTTTTTTCTTTTATTTTATTCTAACCTGCCATGGATGACTTCCGAAACTTGAACTGTGCCCGCCAACGATCCTATTGCTTCTGGTATAAAGTTCGCCGCAACCTATAGAAAAAAAAAAAAAAAAAAAAGAAAAAGAAAAAAAGAAAAGAAAAAGAATAAAAAGAATTATCTATTTCATCGGAGAATATTTTCTTTAGGAAAGAAAAAAAAACACACGCGCACACACACACACACACATACAAGAAAAGAAAAAAAAAGAAGACACGATAAATTTCGACGATCCTTCGCGTCTGAAAAAAATTTTCCATTGAAATTCATAATTTCTTTCTCTCTCTCTCTCTCTCTCTCTTTGTTTCATCCGATCAAAAATATTTTGTGCAATCGTAGCCATAACGTGCCAAAGAGAGCGTGCAAAGAATCATCTCATGATATATATATATATATATACACACACACACACACACACTAACGCGCGCACACAAAAACACAAATATATATCGTATCTATGTATCGCATTTGTCACTGGTCTCACTAAAAGTGCATTATCGTGCATTGGAAATATCGAAGATGCGAAGAAAAAGAAAAAAGAGAAAATGCTAGTGCTAAAATGTGATCGTATTGATGTCGTTCATTGATTCTCACCAAAGTCCATTTTCTTAATCTCACTTGGGTATCATTGTCAGTCCATTCTCTTGAACTCAAATCATATCTATATATATATATATATATTTTATATACACACACACACATATATATATATATATATATCTTTCTTCATCCCGTGCAAAATATTTGAAAAGTAAAAACGATAACGAAACAGTAGCAGTGGCGGTAGCAGTGGTAGAAGAAATAGATGTAGAAATAGAAGTAGAAGTGGAGGATGTAAAAGAAGAAAAAAAGAAAAAAAGAAAAAGAAAATAAAATAAACGAAAAAGAAAAATTTATAAAATCATCTTTTTGCATTGGTGCTCTCGTTTCTTTATGTGGATTCATCCGAATTGAAACTATTCTCGATTACCACGATATTGTGAATAATCCAACGAATTGGTGACATCGTCGATTGGCACATGGATCCCGATGTTAGAAGGACGATAAGACGAATCGTACTCGTCCTGCGGATAATCGAATTGAACCGTTGGTGGTCGATAGATTGTAGGACGTGTCACGTAACCTGGACGATCGTGATCGTGCTGTTGTGATTGTTGTTGTTGCGGTTGTTGTTGTTGATGATGGTGTTGCCAACTTGGTTTGCTTGGATTGTTCACGACGTAGGAATAACTTGGTCTATGGACGTCTTCCGAGTACGTGGGCTTGCTAGGTCTCAAACTGCTACCATAGATTTGTACGTTGTCCTCAACGTACGGCTGCTGATGCGCCAGATTTATCGAAAATGCTAAGTTCAAACATTCGACCGGCACATTATTCTACTTTCCTTCAGATTATTAATTCCAATACCCAGTATTTTTTTCTTACGTTAAACGTTGCGTTCGTCGGTTTTCTCTTTCTTTTTATATATATGTATATACATCACAAATAATTAATGAAAAGTAAAAAATATACATATATTAATAAAAATATAATATATCCCATATTAAATATTTATTTTATTATTATTATTATTATTATTATTATTATTATTATTATTATTATTATCATTGTTATTATTATTGTTATTTTCTTGTGTGCTTTTACTTTTTTTATTCAACGATTATACATATATTCAATAATATTTAATAAACAAATAAGACGATTATTGAAAATTAATATAAATTTGGAATGAACGAATGAAATACACGTAAGGAATAATACAAGGAAGTAACGTCATGGTGAGAACACCCCAATTAAATTCTCGCGCTCGCAAACACAAAGTTGTCTTTGCGAAGAAAATCAAGAAGGAGAAGAAGAAGAAAGAGGAGAATAAGCAGTAGGAGAAGAAGGAGTAGGAGAAGAAAAAAGGGACCAAAGAAAAAAAAAAAAAAAAGAATCTGAAGAAACTAACCGTGAATGGACTCCCCTCACCCCCTACTCGCCCCACCCCACGGTCTTTGATATTGTCGCTAGGTGTCGTCTCACCTGACCGTTTGCTCTCTACAATTCGATTGTGCAATTTCGGATGTGACTACCTATCTAGAAATCAGGCTACCTGCTTTGCCGCGCTACCGGAAGTTTTCTTTATTAACGACATGCCTCGTGTCGTATTATAGTTCTTTTTCTTTCTTATTCTATTATTATTTATTATTATTATTATTATTATTATTATTATTATTATCATCTTTTTTGTTTCGTTAAACTCAATTGAACTCAATTCAACTTATCTTAATTTAACTTAACTTAACTCAAAGAGAAAAGAGCTCTCTCGATTCTCGTCGTTTGTTTTTTTTCTTTTTTCTTTTTTTTTTTTTTTTTGTTTGTTTTCTCTCTCTTTCTCTCTCTCTCTCTCCCTCTCCCTCGCGCGCGCGCGCGCGCAGATCAAAGAGAAATCGTATTTCAAATAAATATAAACAAACAAGACAAAACAAGAAGGAAACAAAGAAGAAAAAAAAGGAAGAAGTAAATATCATAATGATTTCATAAACTCACTCGCATTCTGAAGCAATCCAACGCTCGGTCTCGGTATTTTCTCCGGGATATCGTCATCGTCGACGCAACAACTCCAAATCAATCCGCCGGAACACAAATCGACCGGTCTACCGCCAGCCAGGACGCAACTGATACTCAATCCGCACTCGAATTTCGTCCCCTTGTATTTGCAAGTCTGTGGTATCACTGTAAAACGAATGGTGCAAAAAGGAAAATATTTTTTCTTCTCTTCTTTCTTTTCTTTTTTTTTTTTTTTTTTTTTTTATTTTTTTTATTTATTATTTAATATTATTACATGCGGATATTTACTTATTAAAATGGATTAGACATTATTAATGAATATTACTTGTAAACCATTTATATGGGTTACGCGTACAAAGGAAAATAATAAAAATGTACGAGAAATATAATCCGTGTATGAGGTATGAATCCGTAAAAATTCGTTTCAAGAAGAAGAAGAAGAAGAAGAAGAAGAAGAAGAAGAAAAAAAGAAAAAAAAAGAAAAATAAACGCACGCGTAATATTTTTCTATGCCAACGATCCTAATTATTATCATTACCGAAAATATATATAATCGTCGATTCAACGTATTAGTTTCGGCTTCAAGAAAAACAAAAATAAAGAAAAAAGAGAAAGAATAAGAACAAAAAAGAAAAAAAAAAGAAAGAAGAAGAAGGACAATTACTCCTCGAAACGTTATCATCTCGTTCATCATCTCGTAGAGAACACCGCATTTCCCTTTGCTCTGTTTCGCTCGTTAAATGGTTAAGTCGTTGGACGCTTTCGTTCCGAAGTACAATTTCGTAAGTGAAAATCTGGAGCTCAAAGGTTACCGAACGCGAAAGTTCAAGCTCGAACAATAATAACATTTATCGATCTGTGTTCGATTGTTTCTTAGGGTGTGTCTTAATTACCCCCTCTCCCCTGCCTCACCCACCCCAGCCCTCCCCACCCCCTTCTGCTATATAATTACGAAATCTTTGCGAATAGAAATTCGAATCGTTTCCTGTTAAACTTTCAGTCTGAAACGGAATAATATGAAGCAACAACCCGATGATTAAAATGATTGTTATTTAAAAAAAAAAAAAAAAAAAGAAAAAAAAAAGAAAGAAAGAAAGAAAAAAAGAAAAAGAAAAAAAGAAAAAGAAAAAAATCTTAAAAGAAAAGAAAAAGAAAATTGATTCAATTTCTTTTGTTCGTTTGTTTTTTTTTCTTTCTTTCTTTCTTTCTTTCTTTCTTTCTTTTCAATTCTTTTCGTTCTGTTTCGTTTAAAAACGTACTTCTGCCCAACATATCCATGATGCCGCTTTGAAGATTCGAAGCGGTATGTCCCCGATAATCATCGGTGTCGCTCTGATTTCTTTTCTTTCTTAGTGTCTCGACTAATAGGACACCTTGCTGTTGACTATTCAACTTCCTTCTTCTACCTTGTCTGTAACCACTTCCGAAATATTTTTCATAATCCCCGTTGTTCACTTTTCTTTTAATATCTTCCAAAAATTCTTTGACGTTTTGCGTATCATCGTCATCGGACAAAAAGGTATTCGTTCGTTTTGGTATATTCCAAATGTCTTCTTCTTGATCACGATTGAACGTATCATCGTTCCCAATAGTCAACGAATAATATTTGGAATCGTCGTCTTGACCATCATGATCGTCGTCGTCATGATCGTCATCTTGATCCTCATTGTCAGGACGATCGGAATAACGAACGTTAGAAACGTAATGATAATTTTCTTTCTCCGACGTTGGCAACTCCACGATATTTTTCATACTGTTCCCAACGATAGCACGATGTTCACGTAAAAACTTTCCACGTTGATTGGTATTATCGAAGGCAAGATAATCGTTATCTTCATTATCCTCTCGAAAGTTCTTCTTTTCGACATTTCGATTTCGAGTTAAATGAAAATTTTCATCGTCCTCGAAAAATATCGACGGTACGTTAAGTTTATCCTGACGATAGATAGATCGTTGAGTCGTAACCGTTCTATCGTCGAATCTATCGTCCAATCTAACGTCCAATTGGCTACGTTTCCAGGACGACGATGACGTACTCGGACGATTGTAATATATTTTTTTTAAATCGTAACGTACCTGTTCAATCGCGTTCACACCAATGAGAACGATTAGGAACGATCCAACGATCTTCATGATCGATGGATTATTTTAAGAGAGAGAAATAGACAGATAGATAGATAGAGAAAGAGAGAGAGAGAGAGAGAGAGAGAGAGAGAGAGAGAGAAAATTCGACGAAGACTCCAGTTTTGAGAGAGAGAGAGAGAGAGAGAGAGAGAGAGAGAGAAAAGGAGGAAGAAAGAAAGGAAGAAAGAAAAAAAGGTTCGTCACTAGGATGATACTTTTTTGAACTTCATCGTTATAAGGGACTCGTTACTCGACTTCATCGTCAACGTTTTCGTATGATAGATCGATTAACGGATAAATCCTTGGATCTTCGTGATAAAATTTGTATATCCCTCGATCGTCTGACGCATGACGATTCGATCGATTGAACCGAAGAAAAACGTGACGAACTTTTTCTCTCGTTTTTTTTTTTCTTTTCTATTCTTTTCCCCCCCTTTCTAAAAATGAATCGAGATTATTAATTTTTTGATCACTGGAATATCACCATGGGGACTTTTTATCAAAGATCAATAAACACAGGCCAATAAATATGACGAATAATATTTAGATGATCAATGGAATAAGAGTACTCGGACTCCACGTGGAGAACTGATCTCGATCCGTTGTCCCGAGTCGAAGATCGGACGCCAACGTGGTGGCTAGACGCTTCTCACTGGTGTTGCTGTTCCTAGTGTTGCTGCTGTTGCTGCTTGTTCTTGCTCTCTGCTTTCACCAGCATCGGCTTTCCCAAAGGCAAACCGATGTCACCTCTTCGTCTTGCATTGGCTGACTCCCCACCCTTTCCTTTTCCACGAGGAGACTCCCAAGTACTTACTTACATACTTGCTTGCTTGCTTTCTTACTTGCTTTCTTGCTTGCTTACTTGCTTGCTTATTTACTCGCTCGCTTGCTAACAGCCTTTTCCTTTCCTTTTCTCTCCATTCTCATTCATGAATAAAATTCCTATTCTTCTTTTTCTCTATTATTCTAGAAAATTAATTGGCTTTGTTTCTTTACCATTGAAAATCATTTATTCGTGTAATACTTTTGATTTTTTCATTTTTAATATTAAATAATTATCGTAAATCGTTGTTCTTCATTTTATATCGATTATGTTATTTGCGTTTTCTTTTTCATTCAATTTCAACAAAAGCAAAAAAGAAAAACAAAAGAATTGATCTCCAATAGAACTGTAGGATTAATTTCGACAATGCTTCTTTCAATGATTTTCGTAATAATCAGTTTCTTACTTTATCCATGTTTCTTATCTGATTTTTAACAATTGACTTGCAGTGTATACACGATGGTGATTTTCATTGTAGTTTTTTGTACAATCTTTATAATCATTCCTGTCGTATCGATTATGTTATGTCACATTTGTTTTAATGGAAAGAAAAAAAAAGAAAAAAAAAAAAAAAAAAAAAAAGAAAAAAGAAGAAAAAATGATTTCTGGTGATAATTTTAACAACGATTTTGAATAATTTTCGTAGTATCGACAGCACCGTGTTTAACATTATTACCCTGGTTTCTCTACGTAAAAAAAAGAAAAAGAAAAAAAATAAAGAAAAAAAGAAATAAAGAAAAAAGGAGAAATCATTTTCATCGGTCGTAAAGCTAGCGTGCGTAATAAATTCTTTTCGTTTGTAAAAGTTGTCGATGACGATGATTAAAAAAAAAAAAAAATAAAACGAAAAAAGAGAGAGAGAGAGAGAGATATCACGAAGAGAAATATCACCAGGGTGAAATTGTTTGTTACAATATAAAAACAAAACAATAAGGCCCGTAGTAAATGAGTTCTCGTAGAAAGTAAGCGTTATTGTAAATGGCCTTTCAAGTACGATTCCAATTTCGTCGTCCCTCGTTAACTCGACTTTGAACCGCGAAATTTCTACGTCCTCTTATTCGTGATCGCGTTTCGTTCTATCAACGAGTAAATACATAATAATAACTCTTTTTGAATCGACGATCGAAAAGAGTATACCTAAATAAATCAAAATTATTCATTTTGAAGAAAGAGCATATTAATTATAATGCGATGATAAAATCAATTAATTGTTTAAAATCGATGACATTCGTCTCGTTCAATTGGACGATGTTATCAAAAATATATAATCAGAATGATTCATTTTATAGAAGAAGAAAGAAAGAGAGAGAGAGAGAGAGAAAATATAAATTATAATATTTAAAATTTAATACAAAATCAAAAATTATTAAATCAAAATGGAAATATCTCATGGGAATTGATTAATTCGAAGAGGACAGAAAATTCTCGGTTGAAATTTAAAAATGAAATAAAATGAAAAAGAAGAAAAGATAAAATGAACGTCCTCCTACGGACCTATTTCAACAAACAATAAACAATAATTTCGTAATTTTACTTCGAGCACCTATACTTTTATAACTCGACAGAAAAAGAAAAAAAAGAACTAGATATAAAACATCCTGTGTGACAAATTTTATATGCACACATATAGTCAAAGGAAAAAAAAAAAAAGAGAAAAACAAAAAAAAAACAAAAAAAAAGTATTCCTCTTTTGTCGGAAAAAAAAAAAAACAGTAAAAAAAGAACGACAACCTATATTTTTTTGATCGAAAAAAATTTTCAAAACTTTACAAAGCCTTTATACAATTACTAATATTTGTATTAAAATCAAATGCAAATTCGATTTGTAATATCAGAACCGTGGAGCAAAGGGCAATAACCTTGTTGAATAGATTAACGTAATTATTACGTCAAATAATTTTTATTTTTATTTATACTCTTTTATCCGTTCACTCCCCTCCAAGCCCTCTTTCTCTCCCGCACAAAGATATATAGTTATCTAACTCAGTTTCACATTAATCTTTTTTAACATCTCCATATAAATTCTCATCGTTGACGGACGCGTTTGATTTATTTGTCATTTATATTCATTTCTTTTATTTATTTACTTCTTTTTTTTTTGTCTTCCCTCCCCTTTCTATCTCCTCTCTTTCTATCTTTCTCTTTCACGAGAGTGTTGGCTCGTGGCCGAAAGCAAAGGAAAAGAAAGATTCATTGTCATTCGAAGTGAGTTAAGCGTGTTAGTAGTAGTGGCCTTTCTCTTTCGGTGCCACCATATTTAAAATTCAAGCTAATACGATACCACTCACAGGTCAGGTATGCAGAGTTATGATCGATCGAATCACGTAATTCTCTCCTCCCACTTAATTCATGACGTTTCAGGATAAAAGGAAAGGAAAGAAAAAGAATATAAATACGTATGTATGTTAACGTTAACTTACAACCGAGCTCGTCGAAGAATCTCGTTTGTCTGTTAGAATCGAGAAGATTCTCATCGTTCGAAGATATTTCTTCGTTCTCCGGGAAATCTGTTAAAAATAAAAAAAAAAAAAAAAAAAAAAAAAAACAAAAAAAAAAAACAAAAATTGATAACTTTATTAACGAATTGAGAAATAAAAAGAAAAAAACATCTTTCTCCCTTTTTTTTTTTTTTTCTTTTTACTAAGAAATTTTCTCATCTTAATTATGTAGAATATTTTCCACAAAAAAATGTTATATATATATATATATAAATTTGTCTTGAAGTAAATAAAAATTTAATTGTCAAACATATTTAGTTTACAAATAACTGCATCATTTCTAATGTTACTATTTCATTTCCTTTTCCTCTTTTTTTATTTTTTGTTCTTCCTTTACAACAAATTTCGTATAATCTAATATATCTCATACGATCTATCTTAGAATAGAAAAAAAAAAAAAAAATTATTTGATCGTCAGATAAATATATTCATTTTGAAAAAATAATTGCTCCCTTACTTTCGACATATTTTCATGAGAAATGAATAATTATTACTTACTTTATATTTTAAGTGACAAAGAGGAAGAAGTAGAAGAAGAAAGAAAAAAGAAAAAAAAAAAAAAGAAAGAAGGAGAAGAAGAAGAACGTGACAAAAAAGAAAATTAAAGTCGAAAATATCGTATAAATTTTTACGAGGACAATAATCGCTTACCAAATTTCGTGAGATATCGATCGTTTCTTCTGTAATTGCCGTGGCACGAGCCGATCAGAACGTAAAGGATGAAGAAGAACGACGATGTGGACGCAATCATTTCTTTTCGTCCGACAGCCGATAAAGATCCGGCGAAAGATTCACTCTCATTCACCGTTTCATTTTCTCACAAACGTTCGTCCCCTCATACATGTTACCTCGTTCCGTCGTGTTATTTATTTATCACAAACGTTTTTTCCCCGATTATTCTCTACTATTATTTACGTTTAAACGTTTTACTTTCTCATACGATCCTATCAAACCAACAAACAAGATCTAAGAAATCTGCCCTTTTTTTTTTCCCTCTGTCGAGTTTAAAAATAGTCCGTGATTAGAAAGAGAAGACAAAGAAAAACATTTTTAATTATTTCCTATTTAAATTCGATTTAATTCGAATAAATCATATATGCGTACACACACACACACACATATATATATATATATATTTTTTTTTTTTTTATAAAGGAATCACACGATTGCTTTTGTCGAAACTTTGCTTATTTAAATAAAGAAAAAAAAAAAAAATTTATATCATCCATTCAATCGAACTATCTAAGTATTTTAATTAATTTAATAAATCGAAAAAATCTATAATGACTTTTTAAATAAATTTCGTTCATTTAATAAAACTATTCGATTTAATTCGATCATATATTATTATTCTATTTATATTTATATTGTATAATTAAGCGAAAGAGAAAAAAAAAATTGCAAATATAAAAACCAATCTTATTTGCTTCAGAAACATTAATATATAATATATAATTTAATAATGTTATGTAATAAAATTTAATCAATTAATTTATATAAATATATATATATATAAAAAATAATAAAATTATATATATATATATATATTCATAATTTAAAACAAATTTTGTTTTTATTGTTTCGACAAAGAACAATTCGCAACACTTTACATGGAACATCATCATTTCATTAAACATTTAATATTAAAAAAAAATAAAAAATAAAAAAAAAAAATATATATATATATTTCCCTTATAAATTAAGATCTATCATGTCTATTCAAAAAAAAAAAAAAAAGAAAGAAAAAAAAAGAAGAAAAGAAGAACTTTTGTTAATATTCGATCATCGGTATATATCATCTCATGATGAAGACAAACAAATATATATATATATATATACACGCATACACACAAACACAAACACACACACAAACACGTACACATGCACGTGTACGTCATAGATTTACACGTTCGCACATAAGTATATACATATTTCCTCGTTAACCGGCCGAGTTCACGAACCGTGGCGAAGCCGTTCAGGTACAGTCTCACTCAAAATTAGGACACGAAACCAGGCCACCGAAACAAGTGGCACGCCTTTTAGTGCCTCGTAACGTTGCGTTCGAATCGTCTTCTCCCCTTCTCTAGTCTTCCTGCCAATCTACATCCCACTCCTTGGGCCCCTTAGGTCCCATAGGTCTCCCCTCACCCACCCACCCACTCACCATCACTACTCGTGTACCTTTAGTTATTAGTGAAAGTTAACCGGTAACTTTCGACTTTGACAACGAAGCCATTTGTTGGTAATGGTTCCTCTCTCTTTCTCTCTCTCTCTCTCTCTCTCTCTCTCTCTCTCTCTTCTTTCGATTAGTCCAATGGAAATTCGAAATGTCATTAATTCTTTTATTTATTAGAATTAAAAAAAGAAAGGAAAGCTTTCTCCTAACTTGAATTTCCAAACTTGTATAGAATTTATCGTACACGTGTTCTCTACTTTTATCTTTCTACATATGTATTTGTGTGTGTGTGTGTGTGTGTGTGCGTGTGTGTGTCTGTGTGTATGTATGTATATGTATGTATATATATATATATATAAATTTGCAATTATATGCAATTTCGTATTATTTCTAATATAACATATTTGCAGTTATATATACGATATTATAGACAAAATTTATGGCATAATAAATTTCCTAATCATATATGCTATATCATAAAAATATTTATAACAAGTATATATATACCTACGTACATGTATAAATATATATACATACATATATATATATATATATATGTAAAGGAAAAAATTTGCAGAAAAATCACTATAATTTGCATGCATAAACATGACACGGAACATACGGCATATTCAAATCTGTTAATATTTCATTAAATGTATTTATAAAGCAAAATTTTAAATCAATGTGTAATATCGAACGCATGACTAGAGATGATCCTAATCGCTAATATCAATTTTACCGTTCGCAGGAGATCGCGATTTATATCGATCGACCCGCTTTATCGAACCGTAACAAAATGCATACCTACAATTATGGATAATTCGCCCTCTCTCTCTCTCTCCTTCTCTCTCTCTCTCTCTCTCTCTCTCTCTCTCTCTCTTTTTACCTTTTTGATTACCTATTAAACTTAACTCACTTATGGTTATAATTTACTAGTGCGGAAACATGACTACGCCCAGTAATGATTCCGCTTGGGGGGGAAAAGAAAAAAAGAAAAAAGAAAAGAAAAAGAAAACTAAAACTATAAACTCGTATGGATGATATTATTTTTCGATAGCAAGGGAGAAACAAAAAAAAAAAAAAAAGAAAAAAGAAAAAGAAATAAAAACGATAATAATCGAGATAATCGAAATCTTTGGAAGGAAGCAAGAAGAGAAAAACCACTTGGAGTCTCCGGTGTCTCACCTGGTTTTCTAACGAGATCAAGGTCGCCGACATGGGAACTGAATATCGAAGAAATAACCAAGATCACGGTCACGCGAAAGCTCAAGTTTCGATTATTTTTTCACGATCTAAACGAGAAGAAGGAGAAAAGTAAAGAATCATTGTTAGATCTTCTTCTTATCCATATCTCTCTCTCTCTCTCTCTCTCTCTCTCACACACACACACACACACACACACACTTTCTCGTTTCTTTTCACCACTGAACAACACTTATTCTCTTCTATTACTTTTCAATACATACATAAAATATATACGCACACACACACACACACACACACACACAAATATATATATATATATAAATGTGTGTGTGTGTGTGTGTGTAGGCATACTTTGTTATATTATTACATTCTCAGATGCTTGTATTTGAAGGAAGACGAAAGTATAATATTATAATGAAAAACGATACACTTGTGAGAAGAATTAATCGCGTCAATTTGGAGATATTAGATTTATTTTTTAATAATCTTACAATTAAATAGTAAATTATATTTAAAAATCGACGATCGTCAATTGATTATCAATTTTCGGACACTTTCGTCGAGGAACGAAGATATGTGCGTGTGAGAATAGACCACCGCGAGACGCGAGTGACTACTGATGAGGAACGGAAACGCATCACCATCCGAGACCACTCTCTTCGAATCGTTCTGATCTCCGTTACCTTTCGTCGTCGTCGTCGTCGTCGTCCACGAAGCCCTTCTCCTTACTCTCTCCCGATGGACCACAGACGGACTACTACTCTCTTCTAAAACATTTATTTTCTCTTATTTCGTTAAATTACTATTTCTACCTACTTACTTGACTCTATACGAGTTAATTAATTAATTAACATCTTTCGCTTTTATTACATTTAATGATAGAACAAAAATTTTCATGCTCTTTCATACATGCAAGTTAACGTATATGCGTATATATATATATATATATATATATATATACATATATGTATGTATATGTATACACACGTGCGGGTACGCGTTAATTTTTAATCCTTTTTATTTATCCTTTTTATTTATACCTTCATAAAGGTATAAAATTTATGTGAGGTTTTTTGCTTGTACTGTACTTGCAATACGATCGTGTCTATTTGATACACTGACCGCGAGCCCGCAAATCCCGAAACTTACTTTCATAGAAAGTCACAGTCGCTCGAAGGAACAATCCGTTTTCTTCAACGTGCGGTTTCACTTCGCTCGAAAGATGATAGATAGGTCATCATCGAGTGAAAATTCAAATCTATTTAAAAGAACGTCATTAAATTTTATATTTTCTCAAACTTTGTTTATATTCTTTTTCCTTTTTATCATAAGATCTGTCAATTAAAAAGTAATATTCAATCTCTTTGTCGTAAACCTTTATTTTTCCCTCCGATATGTCGATAATTTAGGTTTCGGTCGATGCATTTACCGATCTTAAAATCTTGAACGCACTCTAACGGTGCAAATTGAAGATGATATTCTTCCTTATCGACCAACTAAAATGACCAATTGTTTTTTATAGATACCAGGTAGCAGCACGATGATGTTTGCTATAGTGTATTTAAAAATGATCATAACTTAACCGCTACAGAGTAAACTGTCAAAAAGGTTAACATCGTTCGTCCAAGTTCCCATTGTCGAATGTGCTATAATAATTTTCATTACGTTCGTATTCGTGCGTTCACGACAATGTATATGATTTTGAATGAAAGAATAATTGACGTACCTTCAACGATAATCATTGTTATTCATTATAGACATATCTTTGTACCACCTGTAAATTGTAGAATTGTTTGAACTCTTACAGTTGAAGACTCTGTTTGAGTAAAATAAAAAAATTAATAGTAATAATTATGAGCGATGTTCAAAAACTTTTTGCTTGCACGTCATCAGGCTGCAATATGGTAAGTTGATTTGAAACACCAAATACAATTACTTAAATGTAAATGGTAGAAATAGTATCAATTAAATTTCCCTGCTTTTTCTTTTATCCATCTTCTATTAGAGTTTCACCGATGAGGATCACTTAGCAATTCATAGAAAGAAGCATGACATGGTGTTGAATCTTGAAAACAATGGAAAAAATACTGGATTTGTAGGTAAAGGTTTAATGTCTTTTGACTCATGCATGATAGATTGCATTATATCATACATACCAATGAACAATATGATATATTGGCATTAATATTTTTGTGATATATGTAGCTGATCAAACACCGACTCCAACTAGATTCATTCGTAATTGCGAGGAAGTGGGATTGTTTCAAGATTTACAAAATGTTAATCCTTTCGAAGAGACTTTTCGAAGAGCTGTGGAAGCAAGAAACACTGGAACGCTTACTGTACCAGGAGAGGTAAAAGAATTTTTATTGTATTAAAAATATTCTAAACGACGCAATGGCATTAATTTTTAGGTGGGAAGTACGGACGACACGTTGCATACTCCTCACATATTTCCACATATCGCAGATGTATTGTCGGATGGTACTCACATTCTTTCTGAAACTAACCAAGAATGTTCTACTTCTATAGCGGTCATAGACAAAACTACGTCTAATGAGAGATCTTCCGTTGAAACGCAAACTTGTTCGGACTTAAATTTACATTTAAACGAGTCTCATCTTATGAAGGAGAATACACTAACGTCTTCCAAGACCACGGCTCTTCACGCAGAAAGTATTGTTCTGCAACATTTGAACGTGTCTGTCACTCCTAAAAAAATACCTCTACAGTCTTCTTCGAAATTGTAAGAAACGACTCGTTAACGAAACCTTTTCTTTTTCTTTTTCTTTTTTTTTTTTTTTTTTTTTTTAATTCTATGATATAAAGCCGTGCATGATTAATAATGCTATTAATTGGAACATTTGATAAAGATCTATAAATGGGGAAGAGGTTGAATTACTGTTGAAAACAGCGGATGGTAAATTGATGCAACTTTCTGCCAATCCAATATGCGAATCCTCCCAAGCGTCTAGCTTGACACCTTCCCAGGTTTCTACCATCGAACACACGAGACAACAAAGCGTACTAGTGAGATCTGAATTTCCACGAAACATGGTACCAGTTATAGAACCAAATAAAGCTCTATCTTCCAAAATGACTTTTGCAAAAATGGTAAACGCATTATTCTTTTTTTTTTTTTTTTCTTTTTCTTTCTTTGCTGATAAAAACAAACAAACATATGAATCACAATGTCAATCAATCGTATTAATAAAGTTTTGTTTGAATACAGAAATTACAGCAGGTCCTAACGAAGAAGGTAAACGCCATTGAAATTGAAAAATCTCCCGAAACAATAATAAAACGAGATAACAATCAGCCGTATGAAAAGGAAAATCCAAATGGGAACGTCGATCAGCATAAAAAGAAGGAACTTCTCGAACGTAATCGTGCCAGTTCGATGCGTGCCAGAGCGAAACGAAAAGCTTGGATTCAACATTTACAAAAAACCGTGACTAACGTTAACGAAGCTAATGCAGCTTTGCAATTGGAAGTAAAAGCTTTGCGTAACGAGTTGACGAGATTGAAGACTCTCTTATTAGCTCACAAGGATTGTCCAATAACGAAAGAGATGGAAAAAGGTATCGAGAGATTGGGGAGAAAACAAAAAATAAAAACTTTCAATTTCAATTATAATCTATCAATCTCAATGGCTTATTTTTAATAATTAAAAAGGTGTTCCTTTTTTTTTTTTTTTTTTTTTCTTTTTACATTTTATTCAGGCAATAGCGTAGTATTAGGAACTAAAATAATATCGGTGAATGCCGATTCGATTGATACCACGGGATCTACTAATAATACTCCTCCGATAAAAACCTTGACAACTTTTGTTCCTGATGTGTCAACAAAAAAATCGATCTCGACGACAACGAAAAATCCAATAATATTGCCGAAGGTCGTTGAACGTCCCGTAACAACGACTCCCATTATTACCAGCGGAACTATCGTCAAAAATATCCCTGCCATTAAGTTAGTCGAGGTGACACATTTCATAGCGGAAAAGGATAACGAGGCGAAACAACAGCAACAAATCATGATCGTTCAAAGTCCAACTATTAGGAGATCGGATGAATCGATGCAGCCAAGAAGAAAGATTATACGACTGAATCCTAATTACGAGATTAGACAGGCCTCGTCGAAAACGACTACGACGGCGACGACAACGACGACGTGAAAATATTAACGAACTTTTTCTTTTGGCTTCATTTTCAATTTTTTTTTTTTTTTTTTATTTTTTTTTTTTTCCTTTACAAATTCCAAAGCTATTCATTATTATTTTAAGTCAACTCTCGCGAGGCGGGAGAGAGGAGGAACAAGAAACCGCGTTATGCACATTATATATATATATATATATATAAATTTTGTATATAATATTTACTTAGATTATTAAATTAACATCGAGACTTTCTCTTATCGTTATTAGAGAGTATATTATTATATAAACACACAAGTGTGCCTGAACTCAAGTCTTGTAAATATTTTAACTATGTATCTCTAATATAGCCTGGTATAGCGTAGAAGGGCTTGTTAACTATTGAGATCTCTTACCTGTGTTGTAACAACAAAATCACTCGTGCGAAATCGGAAGCCAATTAGCTGCTAAATAGAAATTCTCTCTCTCTAGAGAGAAAGAGAAAGAGAGTGAGAGAGAGAGAAACGTGAAGGAGGACATAGACATATATATAAATATAGATATTATATATAATATATATATATAAGTATTTTTTTTATACACATTTATTTATTATAAATAAAATATATTAGAGACATTGTTTCAAAGGTTCGTCATATTTTATTTATTATTAAATCCTCTTAATCTATAATAACAATAACAATAATAATAATAATAATAATAATAATAATAATAATAATAATAATAATAATAATAATAATAATAATAATAGTAATGATGGAACAAAGTAATAGTAATAAAGGTAGTAAAAAAAAGTTTTCAACGATCTAAAAGATTCCTTGTTAACGATGACATTTAGTAACAAATCTTATTGACAAAGGTACCAGAGAGACAACGAAATTCATTAAGTAAATACCGAAAAGTGAAACAGAAAGAGAGAAACAATCTGCGTGTCTATTCTCTCTCTTTATATAGTTTTAAGGGAACATCGTTCATTTCGTTGAAACTTTGCAAATCGCTTGTTAATAAGTATAATAAGTATGACTAAATATATTTCAAAAGTTTTACTTTCAGATAAATAACGTATAAGCGTTTAGAAGGACAAAGAGAATAAGGTACTTTATTATTGTTAAGTTAAAGTTATCGAATGATAAGAAGTGAAAAACAAAAGGACGAAGTTAACACGTAAGAGAGAGAAAGAATGTCTCTCTTTTTTCTTGCTAACTATATCTAACTTCGTCCTTCTTGCGCGTGTGTGTGTGTGTGTGCGTCTTCCTTCGTCCGATAGAGACAACGACGACGACACGACGACGAAGACGAGGAGGAAGACACGAAGCACGCGCATGGCGCCATTTTAGAAAGAGAAGAGAAATAGAAGGAGAAAGAGAAAGAGAGAGAGAGAGAGAGAGAGAGAGAGAGAGAGAGAAAGCAAGCAAGTAAGCAGAGCAGTCCCCTTCAAATTTTTCTCTTCACGATGATTCTGTGACCCTCGGGCCCTTATCAGTTCTCCGTCCAGTCGTTTAACGATTGTACACCGGACAGGAGAATGATAAGGGGCTTTGGGCACGCGTTTTATTTTCCAAACCAACCGCAAGAGACATAAAAACCAGAAAGAACCAAAGCTGCACGTGTGTGAGTCAGTCTTTCTCTCTCATCGACGACGACACGACGAATATATTGTGACATCCATCCACCATTCGTCTTATCCTCTTGGTGGAACCTGTAAAAAAGAAGAAAAAGAAAAAAAAAAAGAAAAAAAAAAACGACAAAATCTAATTATCGTATAACAATCTGATGGATTCAATTATTATTATTTTTCTTTTGTTTTCTTTTTGCAAAGAATACGATCTTAATTTCTTTTCTTTCTCTCTCTCTCTCTTTCTTTCTTTCTTTCTTTTTTCGTTAGGAGGTGGAAGAAAACTACTATCTTGTTATAAAAATTTTTTTGCATTCGAAGGACAATTTCAAGAGGAACAAAGTGATTTTCTCTCTTCCTCTCTCTCTCTCTCTCTTTCATCTTCCCTTAACGATATATTATTAACGTGACTCATGTTCGAAGCACAAGGGACCAACTAAGAGAGAGAGAGAGAGAGAGAGAGAGAGAGAGAGAAAGAGAGAGAGAGAGAGAGAGAGAGAGAGAGAGAGACATCGTATTATCGGTTACTTTGTAAATATTGTCAATGTCTTTCTTATACATAGATAAGACGCATAGCCGATAACAGTAAACAAACAGACGTATCGTACATTTACGTACGTAACGTGTATTCGAATTTCAGGAAATTCTCCCTTTAACATACAATCAAACAATCTACATAACCTATGTAACATTTCTCTCTCTCTCTCTCTCTCTTTCTCTTTTGAAAACGATGTAGTTAGGTCGCCATGGGTCAGTCGTACGAAAATAGAACGGGTGCAGGTGCCCGAATTTTACATCCCTGGAATATATATACACAAGTTGAACGTGCGTGTATGTGTGTGTGTGTGTGTTGTGTGAGAGAGAGAGAGAGAGAGAGCGAGAAAACGAATGAGAAGAAACTTGTAAGAATCTCATGAAAATTTAATGTGACCTAGTCAACAATTAACAGTAGCAATAATAATATTAATAATAATTGTCTAATAGTAATAGTACTACCAATAATAGTACCTGTAACAGATACATCAAAGAGAGTACACACCACTGTTCGTAGGAATATCAAAAACGAAGATCGGTAAAATGGTATTATTCAGCATGAATCTTATCGTAAAGGACACCACCATTACCATCACTATCACCGACCACCACCACCACCACTACCACCACCACTATCACCACCGGCACTAGTTTTATAAGCAATGTTGTCCCTGGTTTAAAGCGATAAACGTGATTCGAAACGTGACGTCATTCACTCGTGAAATATCTCCTGTCGAAAATCTATAATGAGTGTACACGAGTAAGAACGATGATCCGTACGTTTTCTCTCTCTTTCTCTCTCTCTCTCACCCTCTCTCTCTCTGCCTGTAAAAATACTGAAATCGACTGACCTTATTTTTTATAACCGTACGAAATCTTAAAATGGCGAACTCGATAGGTATAAGTATGTACGTAACGTTTGCGGAAAATCTCTTTCTTAATTATAGAATAAGAGAATGAAAAAAAGAACCGAGAGATATACAAAAGTTTTTAAGTGATATCGAAAATCAATTTTTGCTCTTGATTTTCGAGAATATTTTTCGGTCAATATTATTTTCTTTCTTTCCTCCATCCTACCCCATCCTTTTTTTTTCTTCTTTCTTTCTTTTACTATCGACGAACTTAAGGAACAAAAGCTTCGAAAATTTTTGGCTCATACTGTACAGGATACATCGAATGTTTTTAAACGATATTTTCGATAGATTTCGGAGAGAGAGAGAGAGAGAGAGAGAGAGAGAGAGAGAGAGAGAGAGAGAGAGAGAGAGAAAATTCGTTCGATTCTACAGAGAGACAAAACGCGATCGTTTTTGCGAGACATTGTAAATCATGTTGATCTATGGAGGAAGCAGGGGAAGGGAAACGGTTTCGAGGATAGAGAAAGAAAGAGAGAGAAAGTTACGAATCATTCGGTAAAAGATCAGGAAAAACGTTTTTCAAAGGGAATATTACAAACGTTAGTCGTTATACGATAGGATATATATCGGTACAAACGATTATTCGAAACAGTCCAGTGCTCATTCGAAAAGCTCAAAGAGTGCTGTATAGTATCATTTTTTCTCTTTCTCTCCCTAACGGTCTTTCGGACAAGAGAACATCGCTTTTTACGAAGAGATACTCCCTCCCTCCCTCCGATCCCCTTCGTGGCAATAACACAGAGGGAAAACTCGTTGTAGACGAGTCAAACCAAACCTCCTATCGGCCGATAAACACGCACGAAATCGTCAAACGTATCTCTTTATTTCTTTCTTTCTCTCTTTCCTCTCTCTCTATCTCTCATCTCGTCATATCGAAATCGAGATGAGAAAACGAGAAAAGTTTCACATACACACACACACACACACACACACACGGAGAGAGAGAGAATCCATTTTCAAAATGATGAAATTTAACGATCTAAACGACCTAATAATAATAATAATAATAATAGTAACAATAATAATAATAGTAGTAATGAAACAGAGAAAAATGAATATCAATAACCATTACGATTTATGACCAACAATTACGTATCTATCCGGTAAGCGTATATCCGTTTGTTACCAACCAAGCAAAGTGGTTACAAAAACCAATAATATTCCAATTTTTTTCTAATCTGTATATACATATATATATCCTCCCTTTCTCTCTCTCTCTCTCTCTCTCTCTTTGAAATATGCTAAAGAATAATAAATCGTGTAATAGTAATTTAGAAATGGTCTATTTAATTATTTAGAAGATATATTAGAGCGTAAAACGGGTATATACGGATGAATAATTCGATCTCATTATTGTGCGAGCTACGTAAAGTATTGGAAAAAGGAAATGGAGGCGAGAAATGTGCGAAGCGTTCTTCGAGGGAAAAAAATGAAAAAGAAAAAAAAAAAACAAGGAAAGAAAGAAAGAAAGAAAGAAAGGAAGGGAATAAATAAGTAAACGCAAAAGAAGGAAAGAAAAAAGGAAAGAAAAAAAAAAGAAAGAAAAACAGAAAAAGTTGACTCTCATCGAGAGAGAGAGAGAGAGAGAGAGAGAGAGAGAGAGAGAGAGAGAGAGAGAGAGAGAAAACGTAGTCGTGTCGTCGCGTCTTCTAACGATGTTTCCGACGTAAACGTTCGTCGGGGGCGGTAACCGGCTTATCTCCTTCTCGGAAACCGCCAAGAAGCTGCCACCAACCCTACCAACCCGCCCTACCAACCCTTCCACTACCACCATCGTTCTTTCTCTACTTTTCCTACCCTTACCAACACTCTTATGCATTCTTTTGCTTTGCAACTGAAAGGTAAAACCATTGAAAGAGAGAGAGAAAGAGAGAGAGGGGGGGGGGGGGGACTCGCGCACGAATAACTCACGTGATCCTTTTTTTTCCTTGTTGTTTCCTTCACAGTCTTTCTCTCATTTCCAACGTATTTTTCATTCTGCTTGTGTCTCTTTCTCTCTCTCTCTCTCTCTCTCTCTCTTTTCCTTCCTTCTCTTACTTCGTAAAAGAGAGAAAAATAATCACGCGTTTTCCTAATTCAAAAGAACGAGTTTCGTGGCTCGTGTATCACCGCGATACGAACCTTCTTATCTTCTCTCTCTTTCTCTTACACTCACTCTGTGTTTCTCCTTCTTTCTCTCTATTTCTTTCTCGCTCCCACAGAGAGCCAATTTCCGTGGCAATACATCGAGGAAACGTTAGGCGAGGGAGACGAAGAACCACCACCATCGACCGACTATATTTATACCCAACGTCGAGAAAAGCCGCGTCTCAAACCACCACCACCCCTCCTCCTCCTCCTCCTCTACCATCTCTCTACCTCCCACCCTCCTTCCCTTTCCTACTACCGTCTCCTCGCTCTTTCTCTCTCTCTCTCTCTTTCTCCTCACTGCTCCTCTCTACACTCTTCTCCTTCTTTCAACCGCACCGTTCTCGTCCTGCTTCGCGATTCGCACCATGAAATTCTTCTCGTCTCGAGAAAACAGCTCCTGAAAGGTGAGTGAGAAAGAGAGACCACCCAGCGCACCTTTTCTCTTCTTTTTTTTCTTTTTATCGATCTACACATAAATCCATCTATCTACACCTATCTATATGTCCGTCCAGTCTTCTCTTTTTTACTCCACTCACACACACACAAACGTTTCCATTCCTTTTTACTATTTTCGATCGGTTCGAATGAATATTCTCTACATTGCACAGCAAACTACACTATAGGAATTGATCAAACAATACAAAAAAAGTTCATGTTTTTCCTTGAATAATAATATCCTCTCTATCCGTATTTCATTTATTGTCTGTCGAAAACAGGAACCCAAATTTTATCTCATTTCGAGATGGTTATCGCTCTTAATTACAAAAAAAAAAAAAAGAAGAAGAAAAAAGAAACAAAAAAAAAGTAAAAGAAACCATGCGCGAGATTAAAAACTTTGTTTTCTTTTTTCTTTTTTTTCTTTTACCGATAATACCCGTCTAATATAATGCAATGATATAAAAAAAAATGTCTCATAAAGAGGCCGAGGTTAAGTATGAGATACATATACCTTTTACACCACATAAAACTTTCAACTTCTTCAAGAATTACTATATATATATATATATATAGTAATTCTTGAATATATTATATATATATACATATATATATATATATATATATATATATATATATATATATAAGGTGTACGAGAAATATTCGTATCAATTCGTATACACTCGAGTGGTACCGAGAATGGTGGCACGAGACCGGATAAAAGAACAGCGATACCGAATAGAGCGAACGAACGAACGAACGAACGAACGAACGAATGAACGAACGAACAAGAGAGAGATGGAGGAAGCAAATACGCGAGGCGTTAGCCTTGAGACGCCGCGGTTCGTTTCTCTTCCTTTTATTTTTACATTCGAGCCGAAACACAAACGCCGATGAGGAGACGAAGACGTGCTGCCTGCTGCTGTGCTGCGGCTGCTGTTACTATACTCTCGCACTCTGTCGACTTTCTTGTTAGAAAAAGCTCTCTTCCATGAAAGAGAGACAGAGACAAATAGACAGACATAGAGAGAGAGAGAGAGAGAGAGAGAGGGAGAGAGAGAGAGAGAGAGAGAGAGAGAGAGAGAGAGAGAGAGAGGGGGAGAGGGAGGAAAAGAGAAACGTGCTTATTCTGTAAGAAGAGAGCTTCGTTAGTTTGTCGACAAAAATGATTTTTTTTCCCTCACTCGTTTCGTGTCTCACCGTGTATTCTTCTTCTTCTTTTCCGTTCTTTTCTTTTTTTCTTCCCTTCTTCTTTTTTTCACACTTCGATCCTTCAAAAATATATATCTAGGTATGTATCTGTGTAAGTATATCTTTTATCGGGTTCGCGCGGTAAGAAACCTCAACACCGAAAGTGATATATTCCAATCTCGTTCTACAAGAAGAGAATATTACACAGGTTACCAAATTAACAGAAAATATATAAATATATAAAAATCCATGTATATATATATATATATATATATATATATATATATATATATATATATATACTCCAGGTACACATTTGTAAGAAAAATCTGACGACGACTAAGTTGACGATGAACAGAAAAAGAAGAAAGAGTAGGAGAAACGTCCATTCGTCCAATAGCGAACGAAATAATTATGCAAATTTATTCTCCCTGCGCCAGTAATCCAAATTCGCGAAGCTCGAAGAAGAAAGAAGACGGTTGAAAGAGTGTGTTTGTGTGTCTGTGTGTGTGTGTTTGAGAAAGAGAAAGAGAAAATGGGAATTGAAGAGAGACATTTTCAGATCTCCCTTAGGGGAGGGAGGGAGGGGGGGAAGAAACTTTTCAGTCACATGGCGAGTGCGCGCGCGAATACAAAAGTAGGATGGAGAAAGAAAATAGAGAATAAGAGATGAAGGAAATAAGAGAGAAAGAGAGAGAGAAAAAAGAGAGAAGAGAGAAAAGCCGGCGTCGATCGATCTCAGTCGCCGAAAATACGCGACAAGATGTACCAATGACGACCATATTTCTCTTTCTCTCTCTCTCTTTTTCTAATTCTTTCAACCAATTTTGCATAACTAAGCTACAATATTATACGGAATAAAAATTGTAGTCACGATAAAACTCTCTCTCTCTCTCTCTCTTGTTGTCTCTTCTTTCACCAATGATTACACAACGTAATATAAAGAGAGAGAGAGAGAGAGAGAGAAAGGGAAAGAAGAAAAAAAGAAAAAGCCCGCGAAAATGATCGTGACTCTTTTTAACTCTTACCGAACAAAATCGATTAATCGATTGTAACCGAGGAAAGCGTCTATAATTCGATGTAGAGATAGTCTTATCGGGAGGATTACGTAAGCACGCGCACGTACACACACATATAACACACGCGAAATAAAACAAAAAAAAATAAAAAAAAAAGAAAAAAGAAAAAGAAACAAAGAAAAAACAAAAAAAAAGAAAAAGAAAATAAAGAGAGAAAAGAAAAAAAAATCGCGCCTATTATTTCCAACGGGAATAATAGAAATACAGAGAAAGCTGCTGCTTCTGGTGCTTGCTTGTTTCCTGCTAAGGTAAAAATATTATTTTCTCGAAGATTTCTTTTTGTTACGGTCGATCGCACAAGAGGAACAAAAACGCACAGAAAGAGAGCGGAATTTTAATATCTTGAAGATATACCGGACGCGATCGAAAGTATCATAGAACATATACAAAAGAGAGAAAGAGATGATGGATAGAGATATATATATATATATATATATGTATATATATATAGATAGATATAGATAGATAGAGAGAGAGAGAGAGAGAGAAATAATTTCCGAGAAAACACGAAATACAACGAAGTTATACGGAGGAGGTTCGGCGCGCGACTAACTCCCTCGTTCGCCTTCGCCCGGCTTCAAGCACTGCCGTGTGCTACTTGGTGGGGGTTCAGCTTCTATCCTCCCCACTCCAGCATCACCATCATCATTGCCACCGACATCACCCCACTACCGCGCCACTACCACCGCTCTTCATCGTCATTCTATTGCGACGCGCGTGCCCTCTACGCGCCATCTTTGAACACGTCCTACTCTCTACGTCTTCTTTCTATTATTATAGTCCTTTTTTCCCTAACGGTCACTCACTCTTTCTCTCCCTCTCTCTCTCTCGCTTTTTTCTTTCTTCTTTTTCTTTCATCTTTCTTCTCGTACGAGCTTATGCTTTCTAACCCATCCTTTTTACCGTTTTCTCTCTCTCTCTTTCTCTGTCTGTCTATCTGTCTCTCTCTCTCGTGTCCTCTAGAAAACGTAAGAGAAGAGAATGGGAGGAGAGGGAAGGAAAGGGAAAAGAAGAGTAGGGCGCAACACGAAGGGACGTGAATAAAGAAAGACGGAGAAGAGGAAGAAGAAGAAAAGTGAGTGCAGGACTTTAGACGCAAAGAGAGAGAGAGAGAGGGAGAGAGAATGGTGGGATAGGGGAGACGGAAGGGGCAATCCGTGTCGTAAGAATTTCGCAGGACCCTCGTAGGTCTCGTCTTTTTACCCCTCCGTCTATTTCTACCCATTCCGCCTCATATACAACCACCAGTCCTTCTAGTTCTTCTCCTGAGCATCGAGAGAAAACCTGGAGAGCTGTAAACCAAGCCAAAAGGTACTTACTAATATATATATATATATGTGTGTGTGTGTGTGTGTGTGTGTGTCTTCTAAAAAAGAAAAAAGATCCATGCGAATATTCTAATCCACTACGTCGTACATGAAATTTAATTTACGAAAAGTAATGAAATTAAATACGCTATATATATATATATATATATATATATATATATATATATATATATATATATATGTATGTAACGAAATCTGTATAAATTTCTTTTAAAAGAAGACGTAAGTACGTATGTACTTATGGATGTTCCATCGATCCTATTTTCCCAAACTAAAATATGACGAAGAAGAAGAAGAAGAAGAAGAAAGTTGGCAGAGTCTTTATTCGTAGAGGAAAGAGGTTTCCTCTCAGCGAAGAAAAGAGAGAGAGAGAGAGAGAAATGCAAGAAAAATTTATAAGACAATTTCGTTGAGTTAGAAGAAAGAAGAAGAAAAAGAGGGCGCTCTCTCTCTCTCTCTCTATCTCTGCGTTGAGTTAAAACATCTCAGCGAGGTAAAAAGTCAAACGAAAGCTCGTCGGAGTTGTTACCAACGCCTCGACTATAAAATGAGCAAGAAAGAGAGAAACAGAGAGAGAGAGAGAGAAAGAAGACCGATATCAGAGCAAAAGGAGCAAGGGGTTGGTCCTGGCGTTAGCACCAAATTAATTCCTCCAACGGAGGGAAAGAGAAAGAAAGAGAAACAGAGAGAAAAAGAGAGAGAGAGAGAGGAGGAGGAGGAAGGGAGGGAAAAAGGAGGACGGGGATTCTCCATTACCGAGCAAAGAGTGAGACGAGCATGCCCGTAAAGTGCGAACCGTCTTAAGAAGAATTCTCAGGTACGTTTGTCTCGCTAAAACTCCAACTACTACTACCACTATCTACTATCTACTATCACCATCACCACCACCAACACCCTCTCTCCATCTAGTTTTCTTTTTCTCTTTTTAAGAATTACTACAGCTAGAGACAGCCTTACGATTTACGAGACGAACGAATCCGGCAAAGTCGGTGTTCTCAGACTTAACGTTCATTCCGTGAGGAGAGGGACTGTAACACAAAAAATGATTTGTCCGATTTTTCCAGAAAAAATTTCGTATATATATATATATATATATATATCTTCAAAATTACGTGATCTATTTTTTCTTTCTTCTTTCTTTCTTCTCTTTTCTTTTGATAATTTTTTTTTTGTTCTTTTTTCAAAACACTTCCGTTCAAGTTGAGTTCTCAGATTGAGATTAAGGGAGAGGAAAGAACGAAAGAGATAGATAAATAGATAAATAGATAGAATGAAAAAGGAAAGAGGAAGGAAAATATGTATGTCTGCTGCCGATAGTTTGCACGTGTTCGCACAAAAGACCGACTTCCAAGTACTCGATGGTATTCCTCCGATTCTTCAACTATGGTCATGGCCTGACTGATCCGTAACTGTAACCTTCAGGTCCATGTCGGTCAGTTCAAGTCATCTTCTTTTCTTTTCTTTTCTTTTCTTCTTCTTCTTCTTCTTCATCTTCATCTTCTTCTTCTTCTCGAGTTCTGCAAGGAAAAGAAACGTTTTGTTAGAACAGACAGAAAAATATAAGAGAAAGGTGATGGTACTACTTGAAATAAGATAGAAATTCCAGAATAATGGGAGAAAAAGAGAAAAGACCTTCTCTCTTTCTTTCTTTATTTTTCTCTCTCTCTCTCTCTCTCTCTCTCTTTCATAATAATTGCAAAAGTGAGAGGTTTTTAATTTCGTACTAATAGCTTTCCATCGACTAAGTGAAAAGAAGGAAGGAGTTATAATCCACGACGAGAAGGATGACCTTCTTCTCCATCTATCCATCCACCTATCCATCTCTCTCTCTCTCTTTCTCTCTCTCTCTCTCTCTCTCTCTCTCTTCTTCCATCGATGGAAAGATCTTAGCAAGACACCATTTTTGTCTCGCACCAACGCTTACGTACTTACATACGTCCTCGGCAAACTTTCGCGATCTCTCGTTTATGACCAAAAGTATATACTTCGACCTGAAACTCCATAACATTTATTTATATTAACTAGAGAAGTGGAGAATTCGAAGTAAATATAGTAAGGACATTGAGAGGATAATAGTAATAGTGATGGTAATATAGTCCATTGACTGGCGTTCAAAAGACTTTTTATCTCAATGGACTTGTAGTAAATATACGTTTAACTTGCTCTATTCGAAGAAAAGAAAAGAAAAAAAAAAAAAAAAAAATAAATAAATAAAAAAGGAGGAAAAGAAGAACCCTCGAATTCCGAAAGAAAGTAACACTGATTGAGACAAAACCTTGAATTCACCATGGAAACACCTAACCATACAAGAGGATCAATCGTGTAATAGTATTTAACTAAGTATAATTTTCGATCATGTAAATAATGATTTAATTGTCTATCACTAATACGGATTATAAGTTAACAATTAAAAATACTACTTAATACTTTTCATTTAGTTTTCGTATTCTATTACTATTATCCCTTCCTCCTTCTACTTTTCATCTTGGAATGAACCGAATTCTAAACAGTATCTTTACTAAACTATCCGCATGACTCTCTCAATCTCTCTATCTCTCTTTCTCTTTTTCCAACAGAATAGAATCATTTTCCATGGTGATTAGAGAGAGAAAGAGAGAAAGAAGCGGGTCGCAGCTAAAGCGTAGGAGAGGGTCAAGGTTACTGCTTTCGAGACCCCATATGCGCCCTGCACGTGTTCTCTCACCATATCCTCTCCCTTCCACCCTCTCTTTCTTTTTTTCTTTTTTCCTTTCCTTTCTCCCATTCCTCTTTCACCCTCTTTATTTTTCTCTTCTAGTTCCCTCCTCATCCCTCAGAAACCTACCACATGTACGAGGGAAGAGAAAGAGGTAGATAGATAGATAGATAGAGAGAGAGAGAGAGAGAGAGAGAGAGAGAGAGAGAGAGAGAGAGAGAGAGAGAGAGAAAGAGATAAAGCGGTTGTTTCATGGACGATCCCTCTCTCCCTCCTGCCCACCAAGCCGACCCATCCTTTTCTATTTACACGACCGTGTGATATTCTCTCTTTCTCTCTCTCTTTCTCCAGGGATTTCCAATGACCCGACCATTTTGATTATCCATCCTGGCGGGACAACTTCGAACGGACATCCTGTGTGGATTTAATGGCGATAGAACGCAAACCCCAATCCCAAACCCACCAAACAGATCACTTTTATAGAAAATGATCTACGTGCTCGTTAAAACTTTTCCTAAAAGTATTACTTTATATATATATATATATATATATATATATATATATATATACGCACACACACACACATACGTATATATATTTATTTATTTATTGTATTTGTGATAATGGATTTAACCGAATGAGAAAAAAATCGATAAGGAAGATATATACCTTGATTATCTAAGAATTTATATATATATATATATATATATATATATATATATATATATATACACATATACACATTTATTTAAATAAAATCTGCAATCTTATCTTTTTTCCTTTTTTACGAATTATTTTCTTCGTCCATTCTAGCAATCTCATCGTTCTCTCTCAAGGGGAATACGAATTTTGTAGCTAATGACGCGCGGATTTGGTAATCCCGAGACGACGACGACGACGACGACGACGACGACGACGACGACGACGACGACGACGACGACGACGACGTTGTCGCCATTCCTCTGATTACGGTAAGAACCGAAGGAGATGATAACGATAATACCGATTTCCCAAGTCGATACGATAATGAGAGCCCTCGCCCTTCTTATGGCTTTTCGCACCATTGAAACGCCTTCGTCGTTTTATAATATCGAAGAAGACAAAAACTTCGAGATCATTTACTTCCGTAGGAGATAATATATTTCGAAGAAGATATCTATACTTCATGATAAGAAAATGATAAGAAAAAATACAATCGAGAGATTTATAATTATTATATGTGATATAATACTTCCCTTTCTCAGCCCTCCTCCTTGAGTGTACAAATTCCTAAACTCGTTATTTTACGAAAGAAAAAGAACAAGGTATTAATCTAAAAAAATCTTTAGAGAAAAAAGAAAAAGAAAGAAAAAGGAATTTTCGAGGCCCAACCAGTACGATAATAATCAAAGGAAAAAAGAAAAAAATATTAATAAATCAATATGAATCATTTAAGATGGATAATATATCGAATTTCTCTTTAGATAAATCGCAGAAAAAAAAAACAGAAAAAAAAAGATTAATCAATGTAACTGAGAGAATATATCTCATATCACTTCACATTTTTATCTCCTCCTCCTTTTTTATTTATTTTTTTTTTTTTTATTATCCACGTTCCCCACGAATTAGTTGAAAGTAGAACAAGAAGATAGAGATAGAGAGAGAGAGAGAGAGAGAGAGAGAGAGAGAGAGAGAGAGAGAGAGAAAGAGGAGAAGAAGGAGGAGTGGAATCGAAAGGGCCGATAATTCTGAACCCGTCGAGTTGACGTATTTGCGCGTGATGTCACAGTACATTCGAAAAGATAAAAGGGTTCTCTTTCCCTTTCTCCGTCCTACTCTCTCCCTGTCTCTCTCTCTCTCTCTCTCTATCTCTGCTCCTCCTCCTCTTCATCGTTTGTAGAACGTGGTTGGGTTGAAGAGGCGGCCCATAGCCCGACGACGATGATACCTTACTCGCATGAAAACTCGCGGATATTCGCGACGCGATGCGACCCGACCCGACCCGACCCTTTTCACGTTTCGGGCCCTTTTGCCCTCCTCTTCCTCTTTCTCTTCTACCACTCTTCCTCTTATCACCTTTTTCTCTTTTACCTGATACCGTACTCTACTCAATATATCATCTCTTTCCTCCAATCAGTAGATTGAAATTATTGGCTCGGCCCGTCGCACATTACTGTCTCGTTAATAAGATATCGAACCCTCCCTCCTCTCCTCTTCTCTCTCTCTCTCTCACTTCTTCCTCATTCTCATCCTCGTACTCCTCCTTTTTTTCCACTTCTTTTTATTCTTTCTTTTTTTTTTATTGCATTCATACGTTTCATCATTATTCACAACGATCGAGGTGCGAACGCCTCGATCTTTTCCCCTTTACTTTCCCCTCACTCTTTCTCTCTCTCTCTCTCTCTCACTCTCTCACTCTCTTGCGACCAAACAAAAAAATAGTACCGATTTTCATCACGTGTTTTTTCTTTTCTTTTTTCTTTTCTTCTTTCTTTTCTTTTATTATATATATGGATTCCTGTGGAATTTAATTATTCACAATAATGGTGAGGAACGATAGTCTCTATATATTTTCTGTATGTGTGTCTTTTTATTATCCTTTTTATTAATTTATCGTTCAAATTCCTCCTATCATATTTCTGTTTTATTCTTATGCATATCCGCGAGATCTAATTTTACTTGTGAAGTTCTCGTCGAATAAAAAAAAAAAAAAAAAAAAAAAAAAAAAAAAAAAAAAAAAAAATAATAATAATAATAATAATAATAATAATAATAATAATAATAATAATAATTATTATAATAAGAAAATAGACGAACGTTTCTTTAGAAACAATGAACATGTTTAATATTTTAGACATATATATACGTCTATAAATATATATATAAATACATACACATAATCGATATATGATCGTCACGCACACTGTGTACACTTGTTCTTTTTTTTCCCTTTTTTAAACTCATGACGATCCACTGCACTTTTATTTATTTATTTATATACATATATATACATACATATTTTTTTTCTAATATTTTTTCATCGTACCATGATCGTCATTTCCAATTTGTCTCGAGGCAAGTCGAGCATCGTCACAAAGGATCTTGCTTGCTCACTCGAGAGAGAGACAGAGAGAGAGAGAGAGAGAGAGAGAGAGAGAGAGAGGAGAGAGAGAGAGAGAGAGAGAGAGAGTAAGAGTGAAAGAGAGAGATGGAGAAGGTCGGATAAATCGATTCTTTTCGCTCTCCTCGCTTTTGCTGCTCTTCTTTCTTTCCTTTTTTCTCTCGTTTTTTTTTTAATCTCTTTTCTTTTTATCTTCTCTTTCCACCGAGACAAATTAACGCTGGAGGCCTCCTTCTTCTCTCCCTTCCAACCCTTCCAAACTCTTCTCTCTCTCTCTCTCTCTCTCTCTTTCTTTCTTTCTTTCTTTCTTTCTTTATTTATTTCTTACTCGGTACTACATTTTCTCTGGTCGAAATAACGCCACTATACTACACAACACTGCGTATAACCACGAAAACCGCTCGTAGTAGTTCAGTTTTGCACCAGCTACTAGACCGAGTACGCTAATTAACATAATTCGCGAGAAAATACGAAATTGCGGAGGAACTTGTAAAGAATCAGCGAAAGAGACGGGAGTTAAGTACTGAATGTTGAAGGACGAAGACGAATAAGAAGAACAAGAAGAAGAGCAATAAGAATAAAAAGAAGAAATTCTCACTTTCTCTCTCTCTCTCTTTCTCTCTCTCTCTACACCCTCTCTCTTTTTTTCCGAGTTCTTTATCCGATTATTTTTTTTTTTTGAATTTTCGAACAAGGTGAGGAAAAAGCTCATACATACATAC